CAGCATGTGCAGTCTGTGCCCGCGGTCTTTCTCTGGCCACTGCAGTCTACTCTACAGGCCAGACGTGCTTCGGATATGAACGTTTTCTGCGAGCAGACGTCAAACAAACATTGATGAGCACTGGTGTATACAGACCTCCGCTCCCCACACCTTTTGGGCTGGATCCTTCTGAGTGCCTGTGCTGCCTGGATCTTAGAGTTCCCGGGGGAGAGAAGCTCCAGGTGCCCACAGTGGTCCCTTGCTTGGCAATGAAACCTTTCTTTGGCTGCCGTTCCTTCCCTGTGTCACTTCCCCACACCGCTCCCAGTGTTTTCTGGGGTCATTTTACAAATAAACGACTTGTGGTCAAATCCTTGTTTCAGGATCTGCGGCTTGGGGAACTCAAACTAAGACAAGGACCAAACTGAAATAATAAGTGAATTCCTCTAGTATCATACAGTATTTTCACATGTCACAAAGTCATCTAGAGTTCTTGAACTGGATTTGTGGGACACAAAGTGCTTGGAGAGGGAGGGAGTGTACTGTACATGATGGCGTGGACATGTTATACTCACACCGAAGACCCCCGTGGTAGAGACATGTAACTGCCCACCACAATTCATGCTCTTCCTTCCATAGTCACAGGAAGAGGTTGTCGGTCAAATATTATATTCTCTACCCTCCCTTCTTCCTGGCACCTAGGTAGAGCCATGTGACCAATAATTTCCAGCTGAATGTGAGCAAAAGTGATGTGTCCAGACCAAGATAATTAGGAAGCAAGGGTGCATTCTCTACCCCCTCTCTCTCTCTGCCGGCTAGATCAGAGGGCTACAAAGCCCTAGGAATTGAGTCACAAGAGGAAAGAAAGTAGGTGACCAGTTCTACCTACTCGTCAGAAGCAACCACACCGGACTGGTATATATTATTGAATTAAACGACTAAAATGTGGGGGCTCATTGTTTTAGCAGCTGACATTCCCCTCACTTATATACACACCATCTATGTTCTTTGTTAAGATTTTCATGAATCTGGGGTCTTTTGCTCTTCTTTCCACAGTAGACAAAGAACAGTGAAATGTGATGTTTATTTAAAAAGAAAAGAAAATCTCTAAAAATCACATTGTACCATGTCCATCACCTCACTCCCTATTGCAGGACGCTGGACACTGCCTGAGCCAGGGGTGTTGGTCTCTGCTGGCAGGAAACAGCCAGCCATGTGATACCAGGAACTGTGGCCAGAGTTGGAAGAATATGTCTTGCAATGTTTAGAAACTCCATCAAATGTCATGGTTCATACTGAACTTGGCCCCTTTGAAGTTCAAGTTCACTTAATTTTGGAAAAACATGTTTCACATTTAACAACAAGAAATGGCAGAGCAAAGGCTAGATTTTAAACTTTCTTGGCCTTAGCTTGTTGCTACAGGACACTGTCTCCATGAATTGGACATGTAAGGATTACATGTCCCTGGAAATACAAATAGTTTAGAATTTAAGGGGAAAAGTCTATATACATAGGCATTTGGATCAACTGAATTTAAATAATTTTTAAAAGGTGCCCCAAATTGTAAAGTGCTAGCCAGATGAAAGTACTCTGGAGTTAAGAAACCAACAGATTCTGCTGAACCTTTCTTCGCCTGTTTATAAATCATGACAGCAATCACCAGTAGTTAAGTACCAGTTAGGGTTGTTTACATTTTAGAGGTAAATCACACATGCTTTACTGAAAAAAGAAAAGAATTTTTTGTGTTCAACCAATAGCATGAAATAACTGTTATTAATAAAATGTGAAAAAGGAGAGAAACTCAAGTAGAAGAAATATTTGAAAAGCAAGAAAAACTATAGACCATGAGTAACTTTTTCAGCCATTGTTGATCATTCACTGATAACCAGATTCAGGCAAGAGCTATTTTAAAGCTCTTTCCCCCCTTCCATCCTCAGCTCAAAAATTGGAAAGGCAGTGAATGACTATGCAGCCTTCCTCTGTAAGACTCTGACACCATCTTCCTAATAATAATTAAAACTAGGTGCCTACTCTGTGCAAAGCACTGTGCATTTTACATGTTCTATTATCTTATTTAAATTCAGCAATGTTCCTAAGAGAAAGGGATAATGTTCATTTCCATTCATTTAACTGCAGAAATACAGTTAGTGAAAGGCCAAGTTCAGATTCAAAGCCAAGTAGTGAACCTCAGAGAATATACCTACAACCCCTTTGCTATATTCTCTCCTATTTAGGATCTACTTCTCAAGAGACATGGTCTCTATTTCTCTACCTAATCATTAAGTTTTCTTACTGAATTCATTCTGCCTACCAGCATATTCAAGACTGCCTTCAGAAACCTCCTGTGTGCCCACTCAAATTTGGGCTAAAGAGGCCAGAACTCTTCCCATCCAAAATTTTCTAGATAGATTGAATTAAAGAAACTGTCAACAGTGCCCTTAAACACACAAAATAAAACAAACTAAAACCAAAACCACATGCAAGATCTTATATGGTGGTTTCATTATATTTAATCAGTCCATAATTATACATTAATATTAATGTTTTCCCTCCCTTTTCCCCTTCTCATCTTTTCTATACCTTATGGCATATAAATGACATACACTAATCATTGGCATAATGGACTGTGTGACCTTGTATGTGTGAACTTGTAAAAGCCCTTTTAGAAGAAGTTGAATCTCTTAGGTGCCCTCAACTTTCTTCATTTCTATCAGGGCATGTATAGAAAAAATGTAGAAGTAAACTCATAAGCTTGTTGGAATAATTACATTAAATTAAACAGGATTTTTGCACCTTGCTGAATATTGCAGTGATCACAGAATATTGATTCAGTCTGACCAGACATTTGCAATTCATGCCTATTTTTAAAATTAAAGTATTATTTGCTGTTGATAGGCACAGAAAACTACTGAGTTAATAAATCTTTAGCTCAAAACAGATAGCAATAGCTTAAAGAATGAATGTAAATAGTTCCCTTTATTTAAAGCTATAACCCACCATATTGAATAAATAAAAATGATTAGATTATAAAATAAAATCATTCCATTGGGGTATTTTTGGGCTGGGGGAGAGAAAGGAATAGTGGTGTCCTATAGCTGATAACAGTTTACTGTTCAATCTGATTAGTTGCCTAAAATGGCCATGAAATAATTAAATAAATTAGACTGAAAAGAGTTGAGTTGGGCCGAGAAGGGAATGCTTTGCCCAGTACATTCCATTCATCAGACAGGCTAAGAAGCAACTCAGACATTTTCCATTCTGAAGAGGACAGTACCTGTTCTGGGCGTGAACCTCCACCTGGTCGGTCACCTGCCCCAAGGATTCTTCCTCTTGCTTCTGCCGCAGCCTTTCCTGTCGGGCTCGCCGGCGCCGTTCCCGGGCGGCCTCTTCCTCATCATCGTCATTCCTCTGGTAGGCGATTCTGCAACATCACAGAAACAACCTCTTGAGCATGCCAACTGCCAACCATCCTTACCATCTTCTTGGCAGGATCCGCCCCGAGTCGTTTTCTAAACTGGACTCCTAGTGAACCACAGAGTTCTAAACGGAAGGTTCCGTTTCTTACGTTTAGAGACCCAATCTCTAGTTTTCAATCTTTAACGGATCTGAAAAGCACTAACCCAATATCGACAGAAGATAATTTGCAATGATCAAATAAACAGCTTAAATTTTAAAACCTACACAAAAGCAAGTTGCCTTCAGAGACTACATTAGCATATGTAGTCTTTACTAAGCCCAGGACCAGCTTGTAAACTTTAGAGACAGAAACCCAAAGCATCAAAACACATTTGAAAATAATTTGAAAATAATCAAAACACTTATTAAAAAGATTCAAAGCATGTTGTACTCATTATCTGTATAGACATTGTCACAAGGTCAGAAAAGAATCAAGTTGAGTAACCAAACCAGGACTTGGAGATTAAAAAGCCCAAATCCCTAATTAAAATCGAGAGAATAGCCTCTTTGCTTGGATTTTATATTTTCCTTTTAATTCCTTTTCACAGGAGAGAGGTGACAACTGAAAGGAGGCCTCCAAGTCAGTGCAGTTCCCTCTAAGGCTCCTCTTTTGTTCTAAAGACACATGCCAGGCACATCATGGTAGCCCACACGTGTGCATTTACGTACACACTTAAGGGCTGGGGCAGGTAGAAGAGGCACAGAGGGCTACACATGCATCTATTTTATTTAGCTTTCATAGTTTCAGCTGAAGCAAATGCCTATTTAGGGAGATGATACAATCAATACCATCATGTTAGATGTGTTTTCCTTATTCTCCAATAAAGAACCGGAGCTGGGAACGACAGATGCCCAGACTCAGGAGGAAATGACCTGAATGATTGACTTGGGTACATTTGAGAGATTAATGTGTACGGAGATACAGTGCAGAGAAGGATGGATGTGCTGGCCCAGGGACACGCTGGCCTGATGGGCCCATGGGTTGGGATGGAGATGCACTGTGCAGAAGGCTGCTTTTTACATTAGTTAAAAGTGCTTTTATTACAATACTAGAGACCCGATGCATGAAATTTGTGCAAGGACCTTGGCCCCCACCGCCTCGGCTTTGTCCGGAAGGACATCCGGAAGGACGTCTGGTCTAATTAGCATATTACGCTTTTATTATAGATTACTTACATATCTACAAATAGATATCCTGATATGCAAAAGTTTCATGCTTGTAATTCTTATATAACAACAAAGCTAAAATAATGTACAAATGAAAGAAAACAAAAATATAAATTGTATGTGGAACCATACAATTTATACCAACAATGTGAACCTAATAACTGGGAGTGGTTTGCTGTGGTCAGTTTTACAAACCAGGCATGTTTAGGCGTAGATCCGAAGCAATTTGACTTCAGTAATACAAACGCTATGAATTTTTTTTTCACCTAGATAGCTTATAAAACACAAAATGAACAAAACCTAAGGTTGGTTGGTTGGTTCTTTGCTACTTCAGAAAAATCTGACTTTATACTTACTAAAATCTGCTAGTGTGTAATACTCAAATTCCAATATAAATAAAATGTCACCAGCTGGTTTATCTCTGCAAATGTGGTGACAAGAGCAGTGTGATATAGTTGAAAGATAACTAGGTTAGTACTCAGAAAACCTGGTTTCTAGAACTGGCTTCTCACTCGCTGGTCGCCCTTGATGAACTGGAGTTAAACTGCCTTGTCTGAAAGTGTGTGCAAGTCTAATGAAATCATGGGCGTTGTGGTAAGGCATTCTCCAGCAGCGTATGTTATTGCTCTCAGGAAAGTGCAGTTGAGGAGCTGCTTTATGAGGAAAGATGAGTTCAATTTTAGACTCGTTGAACTTGAGGTGACAACATGACACAATTTGAATGTTCCCTTCTAATTCAATCACATTGTAGTTTGCAGTCAAAAGACCTTCCCAGTGGTTTGGCTTCAATCTTCAGATTCTTGGCCTAATATTCCTTTGGCTTATTTCTCAGTAGACAGCTTTAACCACAGCAGGGTCCTTAATGACTGCTTCCCAAGCCAATCAAACACAAAGTCTTAATTTGTTCCTCTACATCTCTGGATCAGCCACGAGGTCTTGGCTATTACTGGGACCTTCCTTTTCCAAGATAAGCAAGAGACATAAAAGCTCCATATGGGACATCCTATGCTACAAACAGAACTAACCCCCTTTCCTGAATGGAATTTCATTTTTAGCCCTTAATTTCCCACTATGCTTGAACAATGAGAGATGTTAGTGTCTTCCTCCCACCTACCCATGTGCTTCGCAGCTGGATGTTGTTGGCTTTTAGTTCTGACACAAACTTGATTTGCCACTGAGGCTAAATCACACTCGACCTTTCTTCATCTTAGAGTTCTCATTGGAGGAGTGGCCTGAACAACCAGATTATACCCAGTCTCCTTTAACTCTTTCCACTTGGTAGAGCCTGAAATTTACAGTCAATCACTCTCCATGGGTAGCCCCTTGCCTAGGATATACAGTTACCAGAACTAGATTTTTAAGGATCTTTTATTACTACTGATGAATATGCAAATTAAAATTGTTTTCAAAGAACAAAAAAGAGGCAAAAGGACTGCATGGTATTTTGAATCATAGCATGCCCAGTTGCTGGCTCGATAACATATCAGTTGACTTTGTAAGTAAAGTTGTGTCCATACCAAACGACTTGACATGCGTGGAAATTCTTCAACTGTGAGGCTCCCTGCATTAGTCCTTGGCGTGCAAAGCCAGGTCGTTTCTTGCTTTTAGGTCTGTCCCACAGCAACCTGCCTTTCACATAACTACACAGGTTTATATTTTTTCCTTCAAAATTGAAAAGAACTTAATTGTTCATTTCTTCTGATTCTAAAAGTAACATACACTTATTTTCTTAAATCAGACAATACAAAATATATAAAAGAGAAAGTGAAAATGTGTTCCTTAATCACACAACTCAGACATAGAAATGATTAATACTTGATGCATCCTACCAGACATTTTCCCATGTATCACAGATTCTTTTTTTTTTTAACAAAGTGGAATTATGATATATATATATATATATTTTATAAACAGTTTTAAATTTACCTCATTTATGATTATTTTAACATACTAGTAAAATATAATTTTCACAGCAACACAGTATTCTATGTACAGATGTATACAGTAATTAAATAAATGTATTATAATCTATTTAACCCATTTTTCCCTGATAGTTAAGATTTTTCCAGATTTATGTTCTTATAAACAATGCTGGAAAGGACATCATTATAGCTATACTTTTAGCACTTGTTCAATTACTCACCCAGGAAAAATTCTCTGAAGTTAGCATGTCTGTGTTTAAAAGTATGCTCACTTTAAAGGCTTTTGATACACACTGACAACTTGCCCTCCAGAAAGGCATGCAACACCAGCAATGTATGTGAGTGCTAATTTCATCATAAGTAGAATTTATTAAAAAAGACATCCAAATGCTAGCTCAACATCTAGCTTATGCTCCTGCTAAAGACAAAATGTTAACTTCTCTAACCTCCCACACACCAGATGAAAATGTATTTGAAAGGCTGCTGACTAGTAAACATCATACCTAACCACCCACTGGATTGTAATAAAAGCACAACAATCCATTCGTTCCTTCTGAGAAACGCGGCATTAACCAGGGTACTGGTGCTCTCCACTACAAACAGCTGATGTTCCCAGATGATTCAGAGGCAGTGTGGGGCCCGAACTTCCTCTGACTCATCTGGGAAAGACAAAACCATGTTGATTAGAGGTTTAATTGAATGCATTTTATTTGAAAAGAGGTAACCCCAACTGATATGTAAAGTACCTCTCTATTAAAAAAAAGTTTGACAAGAAGAATCCATGACTTCCCCCACCCATGCTGGGTGTTAGCAGGTTTAGTATGGAGTCCTGTGCCCTGTTTTTTGGTAGCTGCCTTTGCTTGTCTGTGGAGGCATGAACACTTGGAGAAAGGTATGATCGAGCTTACTGCAGGGGCCAATGCTGCATCTTATAAACCATTGCAATTATACATACGGTATTTGGTCTTACTGCAGAGCAAAATGGCTCATCAAATATTCAGGGGAAAGAAAGAGAAATGGTGTGTGTGTGTGTGTGTGTGTGTGTGTGTTTGCATGAATAAGTGTTAAACAACCTCAAAAGTCCCTAATAATTACGTGATGTTATTTGACTGTCAGTGGAATGAACAAAGTAGAGAGAACTGGCTTTTCTTCCATTCCCAGAACCACTGCTAGAAGGCTCTGGTGTTAAATTATAAGAAAAAACAGACCTATGCGATGGGAAAACTCTCTTGGAATGCTGTGGCTTTCACACCAAAGAGGTACTCTACCACCAGGGTGCTGCAGCCTCAGTATATTCAAGTCATAAGACAATCATGTTACACGCTGTACCTTTTAGATAGAAAGTTCAAACAAATAAAAGTATTGCAGATATGGGGGGGAAAGGTATTGCAGATATGGCAAAGAAGGGACTCTGTGAGGAACTGGTGTCTTTATGTCTGGATGGGCCAGGATCTAAATGTACATCGATGAGAGGAAGAGGAAGTAACAGGAGCTCCCACAGTTAAGACATTGGAGCGGGCACTCCTTGTCATCTTGCCTGTGTCCTCCTCACCCCCTCCTCCTTCCCCATCACAGATTTCTTAAGACTTGTGCAACATTGGCACCATGTCATCTACAATAAAGGTGGTTTTATTTTGGTTTCACCTCATGTTCCCCAGGGTTTGAAGAATGTTGTTCTTATTTCCTTTCATTTTGTCTTCTTTCCATTTTGCTATTTTCTGATTTGAGATGATAGTACATGATCCTTGAACTTTCCAAGTAAAAATGCTGGCAATAGTATTTTATTAATAAAACAAGATCTCTTATCAGGAAACCATGTTTAAAAATAGAATAAGAAAAAGTAATAGCCATTTTTAAATGTCTTTATTGATTTTTA